AACATGGTAAATTCATAACTCATAATTCATAACTCTACAGATCAGCTTCTGTATTGTTAGGTTGCCTTATTTTGTTACTTTCATTACCTTTACTTTTTCCTGTGCTTAGAATGGCGTTTTTTGCTAATTTTCAGGGGGATTGTAATGTATTGTAGCTTTTACACTGTGGCTATGTTCACACGGGATAGCTTTTCGTGGCGCTACGAAACGCTGTCCGTTATAGTGTGAACACCTATCCGATATATGACTCTCCGCTTTAGAGATGGGGGCGGTGCAGCTTCGCTCCGTTTATACAGAAAACGCGCCGCCACAACAGTTTTTATGTGTGAACAGAAGCCTAATCCGATATGATTTTCGTGGCGGCCCAAAAGCTATCTGATATAGTGTGAACACCTCTTCGATATTTCACTCTCCACTTTAGAGATCGGTGTTGCGCAGCTTCGCTCCGTTACAGAAATCGCGCCGCCACAACAGTTTTTATGTGTGAACAGAAGCCCAATCAGGTATGATTTTCGTGGCGGCCCAAAAGCTATTTGAGATAGTATGAACACCTCTTCAATATTTCACTCTCCACTTAAGACATCGGCGCGGCGCAGCTTTGCTCCGTCACAGAAAACGCGCCGCCACAACAGTTTTTATGTGTGAACAGAAGCCCAATTCCTTATGATTTTCTTGACGGCGCAAAAGCCATCCGATATAGTGTGAACATGGCCTGTGAGTAAAGTTTGTTTGTTTGAATAAAATTATATATTAGAAGACCCATAGCCATCGGATGTACGAGTCGTATGCAGTAAAAGTAACAGTAAATGTAGCGGCCAGAATCGTTGCATTTACCCCAAAACATGAACATAGATATAATTTGCATTGCATGAGCTGTATCACTCCCAGTGGCTTCCGATAGAAGAGGGTGAAAATTTTACGATTCTTTTCAATGTTGAAATGGCTTGACCCCATAATATTTCGTCAACCTAGTTAAGATGTTTACCACAAGGCGCAATCTAAGATCTGTCAATGGCCACCGTCTGCGTGATGTACATGTTGGATACAATTTGTACAACTGCGGCTTGCGGTCTTTTTTCACTGGCAGTTTTCAACCCAGTTGTGGAATCGCATTCCACTATAAATTAGGTCTGGTGACAATTTCAGTGACTTAGCTATATATGAAAATTCTTGCGATTTGTATTTGGGGATTGATTTTAGGCCTTGCTGTAATTTTTCGCGGGTTATCGAAAACTTGCAGAGGTTTCCTGTAGGTGTGACCCTATAAATTTCTGAGAGGCTGATTACACGATCCGGGAGTGATAGTGACGGTGTGAGTGTTGATGAGAGTGACAGTGAACTTCCATAATCACCAGCTAAAAGAAGTTGCTCAAGAAGGAGCACCAAAAGTGGACCGAATGCCGGACAAGTTTTGCATTTCCCATTCCGTTGAGCTGGCTATTTTGAAGCCGCCTAGATTCATTGCCAATTGGAACATAAGCTACAAGCGCACTCTCCTTCGCAGAGGCTCCTACTGGTATCTCATTTACAAAATTTTGAATAAAACTTTAAGGGTAATTAACGCGTGTGGGACGACGGGAAGAGAGAAAGGCGCGGTTTCCCTCCTTCTTTCTCCGCGTCCCATTGTTGCCAGTACGCTTCCCTTTCCCCTCTTCTAGGCTTCGTAGAGACACAAAGAGACCACTGCGAGGGAGAAAAGAATGCGAAATTACAAGTAAATGCTCTGAGAAAGCAATCTTTAGAGTGAGTTTATTTTAATTTACAGTCGCACCTCCTGAAAACGACCACCCAAAGGATGCGAAGATTTAGTGGTCGCTTACGGGAGGTGATCAGTTACGAGAATATAGGACAACAGACGGTCTCTTTCGAGAATAGGCCCTGTACTTTTTAGAAGAAAATTTGTTGCATGCAAATTATAAGTTTTGATATGTTGTGACGTTCTTCACATCCATTGAGCAGCGAGGCAGATACAGTGGACTAGAGATCAGACCTTATGTCAAGTGGTCGCTTACAGAAGGATGAAACAACGAAGAATTATAGAACTGGTCTCAAAAGTGCTCGCGGCTGCTTACGAGGGGCTGGTCGTTTACGAGAGATTCGAATTATAGAGTTTTGTCGGAAAAAATCTTAGTGTTTTGGATAGATCGTCGCATATGGGAGATGGTCGCTTACATGGTTGGTCGCACATAGATCCGGTTGGACTGTCAGCACTGGCGTGGGCTTGTCTCGGTGTGCATATAACATGAATTGTTTTTCTGCAAAGTGAGATGCGCTGACAAATGTTCTTTTATTTCAAATTTCGCTCTTATTTTAAAACTTATGGTCTAAAAAAATTCATCTCATTTCTTGATCGACATAACGGCAGCAAAAACATTGATAACTTGATGACGTCATTGCGGGCACCAACATATGTAAAGCCAACTCGTGGTGTAATCCACGCACGTTCCACGCGTGCCCGATTATAAGCCGATCTTTATCTCAAGACGTTTGTTTCTATCTGTATTTTTTTTTTTGCACGAAGTTGATAAAAATCACCCTTCCTGCCTTCATGGAGATTTCTTTAGAGAGAAACGAGTAACGTAATTCACATTGTTTACACAACTCCTGACTCGTCCCCAGTCGTCTCTCATTATTAGTATTGGAGTTGAACACTAGAACGGGCTCTTTAACGAAGGGGATGAACAAGACTATATAATAGAGAGCAAAAGTGTGACGCTACGTTACCATGGAAGGAAATTTCTTGATCTCAACAACCTTTCTATCATAGGCCATTTGCATATATTGTCTAACGATAAAAGACAAGTATGGGCTACCGTTTAATTTGTTCCTGAGTGCAATCATACACGCGCATACATGAAAGTCATACATGTCAAATTATTATTATTTTTTTATGTCAGATTTGCAGGATCACGATTCTTTAAGATCCAGTAATTTTGATACCACACTAGATTACAAAGCAGTCGGTCTTTTTCACAATATCGGGTTTGCAAGGCGGAAGGCACCGATCGTCGGGACATTTTCGCGCGAAGCGCGTGGGTCTCACAGGCCCGTTGGGCGTCCTAGCTCCTTGGCAGAAATTATTTTGCAGTCTCTCAGCAAGTAGGTTATTTTAAGTCGTTGAAAATACGGTATCCTCATGGTAAGAGATTTGTAATGATTAGAAGCCTGTAATGATAAACTTGGGATAGTGGCATACTAATTCCCTGCAAAATTTTCATGTTCTTTTCGTTAAGTTTTATATAACTCAACTGGTACACACAGTAATTTGAGTAATTTTGCAGGCAATCTCGTCCCCAGGGTTTTCTCGTTTTCTAATATGACGGAAGTAAGAGAATATCACGGTGTCACGATGTCGTCCCTACGCTGAATGAATGATTTTTCAGTAATCGGATACCCATGTTTTGCGCACAGGTTCTGGGATCGCCAGGGGGCAAACATTGCGAGTCACTACAAAGAAATGTATGGCGTGGAGTTGTTTCTGCGTCAGTGTCTTTGGACATAGAATGCCGCATTTTGCCGTGATTTTATGCGAAACGGAGGTGACTAATGTTGGTGCGTTGAAATTTCAAGTTTCTGTGTGATTAATGCGATAAATTCTATCGATAAACACTCCTTGCGTGAGGTTGAGTGTGTAATTTATGTTCACTCTGTTCAATGAATTTACACAGACATGAAGAATTTGAAGAAAAGGTCTCGAAATATATGGTACAAATTTAGGTATACATGAAGGGGGATTGGCTCATTTAAGCGTTTACGTTATAATTGCGTGTGGTGATATTTACGACGAGTGTAACTACGCTCGGCCGCGATCAACGCTGTGCGGCGCTCTGCGGGTTATGACAAGACAACAATCGTAGGTATGTACGTAGCCATAAAAATAAAAAATCCTCCTTTACTTTGGTATAAACAAAGTGACATCTACAAAATATTTCATGGAAAGTACATGGTATTTAACCATTAGTAGATGAGGTAGAAATCGTACAAACGAGTAAGATTTCCGATACAAAAGCGGTGAGTGTGAAAATGAATACCAAGTCGATGTGCGAAATTCACAGATTCTATATCTTCCCTCAAAATGATTGGAAAAGGCATTAGAATTCATCGGTTCTCAGGATTATGACAAAACATTTCGCTTGTGTTTTTTTGGCGAGAAGAAATCAATATACTAATGTGCGGAAGATGTTTTTTTTTTTTAAATTTAATACATATCAAATTCGACAATACATAAGATTACCTTCGATCTTTGTCACAAACCGGCACAGCATTGTGATCGCCGCCGAGCGGAGTGTAATTATACTCGTTGTAGATATGAGCACATGTAAGTACAACTGGAAGGGCTTAAATGAGTCCGCATTCCCCGCTCATTTATACCTCAGTTAGTACTATATATTTCGAGACCATTCAGTAAATTCACAGTCGACCTTTCGCAAGAATCAGTGTCTATCGATAGATTTCATCGCATTGATCCCACAAAAACTTACAATTTCTTCGCACCAACATTAGTCACCTCCGCTTCTCATAAAATCACGGCAAAATGTTGCATTCTGTGTCCAAAGACACTGCTTTTACCGGAGAAACAGCTCCACGCCATACATTTCTTTGTAGCGACTTGCAATGTTTGCCCAGTGCCAATCCCATAATCCTGTGCGCATAACTAAGTGTCCGATTACTGGAAAATCATTCATTGGACTAGATCGTAGGATGTATTGAAAATCCAGTTACTTTTAATTAGCCAATTATATGCAACATAACAACGTTTGCTTAAGTGACCAGTATATTCAATGAAGATGAACGTTTGTCTCAGGCCATTGGCCTTGAAAAAGCAAATCAAGCAAGTTGAAGCTAATTAAGTTGGAATTCAGAAGCGAAAATGAAACTATCGCTTCCGCAATTTTTCAAATATGGAACCCGTTCTTCCGTGACGGCTTCTTAATTCAATATTCATGACGCGTGACAAACACTACCCTCCTCGCACCCGGTGAAGACGCGTACAGTTTAAAATGTCTGAGTATGAATATAACAATTTACTGTACAAAATTAGCAAAAGACTCGACAAAATTCATGTTGGTGAACAACTACTTGTTATATGCAGAGGAAAGTTGGCGGCTCGTAACGAAGAAAACATCCCTACCTTTTCTTTGTTTAAAGAATTAGAAGAGAAAGGATTTCTAAGTCTCGATCGTCTAAATGTGTTGAAGGCCATGTTAAAAGGCGTCGAGGAATGGGCACTTCTTGAAGAGGCTGAGAAGTTTGAGGCTAAAAGAAAGGAATACAATGACTTACTTGAGCGGGTTATTCAAGTTCTCGACGGGCTAAATGATTTGGAAAGACTACTTTCGATTTGCGGACGAAAGATAACGGAAGCGAGGCAAAGCAGCATTCTTAATGTCCGATCACTGTTTACGGAGCTCGAAAGCAACGACTGCCTTGGAATTGATTGCCTCGACACTCTGAAGCAGATCTTAAGCCAGACGCATAAAAATAATTTGCTTAAGGAAGTGGAGGAGTTCGAGCAACGACAAAATCATGAGTTAAAGAGTGAACGACGAAAAGGTATTGTGCCTGCCTCCGTTGTTGATTGGTTTAAGTGAGGGAGCGTTCTAACGCGACTGAACTTATTCTGGAAAGGGAATTACATTCTGGATTATTCTGGAACAGTCACTATTATCATTATTATAACTACATAAAGATAAAATAAGCGAGGCCACACAAAATTTTGTGATTTTCTTAAAATTTATGTCACCAAAAAAATACAGTCGTATACAAATTTGGGGGAAAAATGAGTTCACAAAATCACGTGATTTCCGAGAAAAACTCCAAAGGACACTATAAGTAGTTGTTTATCATTAACATTGTTAGCCTGACTTCGAGTCGTTATTACTCCCTCAGTAACGTCTGCTTTCTTTGGGGAGAATCCAAAACCGGATTTGTGATCTCAGATCATATGGATTCTTCACTAACACAAAAACGGAAGATCCGAAAAAGGATCATTTACCATGACAACGGCATATCCTCGTGAAAAAAGAAACAACAAAATTAATCCTCACGACGAAGACACGAAGAAAAAGCGACATAAGCTACGTATGAATATACGAAATGTATATATTTCGGTTTGAAACACAAACGTTTCTCGAATAGAATACACTCCTTAGGATAGTGAAATTATAAGAATTATTTACAAGTGAAGTCGATAAATTGTTTTTTTTAATTACTTGGAAATTAAACCGGCGTAAGCAGACACTACAGTACGTACAAAACAATATGACAAGTAACGGTTTAAAAACAGTCTACGAATAATTTGAATAGATGACAAACATGGAATGTTATATAACTAATGGCTCAAAATCACAAACATTACGCATGTGCTACCCGTTCCAGTCTACCGGCAGACCGATTTCATACCGAGTGGTCGTTTCGCGTTTATTTTTTTACCGTTGCGAGATTTCGTACCGAAGTGAAATTCTTGCCCCGGTACAACTGGGGTGAACTTACGTCGGGGTGACTCGCGCCGGCATGACATTTTGTGATGGTATCATGTAAAAAAAAAAATATAGAGCCATGAGAGCTAAACGGAGTAAACTCGCGCCGGCGCGAAAGTAGCCCCGCCCGGTGTCATGTAAACACCCCCTTGACCCTGAGCGAGTAATTGGCAGTGTTCACACTCCAATGTCGGCCTCGATGCCATAGTACGTTGGTCGCTGGGCATGATAGACGACAGTCTGATTCGCGCACGGTGCAGGTACCCGAGTACACAATAGTGTCAGAGCCTTGACTTCATGTTACGCTCACGTTTCAAAATGGCTTCTGACCGAACAAACCGGGCAGATATGTACATCGGGAACCCAAAATGAGAACGCAGCGGCATTTTGTGCTGGTGCGCGGATACTAATGCTTAGGCACTAAGTGAAATTTCACTGCCAGTCCTACAGTGTAAGTGTTTAGGCAGGGTCACGCTTTTACAAAACGGTAGACATTTACAAATTGCCTGACTCATAATTCTGTATTATTATTTCAGCAAAAGCATTTGCCATCGCTTCATCAGTTAGCGACAAGTTAGTAGGAGGTGAGTCATGTACGTCATCGCGTGGTGTTATTGCAGTGGACCCTCGATATAGCAAAGGGTCAAGAGACTGGCAAAATTTGTTCGCTATAACGAGGCTTTTATATATTTTTACATATTTTACTTTTTTTAGGGTTAAGAAAATAGTTTGTTATGCGGAGCACTTCGTTATATAGAGGTTCGTTATATCGAGTATCACCGTAGCTATATTTGTGCGGGCTAGCGCGGTGGAGTTTAAATTGTTGCAGGTAAAGTTGAATAACACGGACAAATTGGTCTAGATAGAATTGTAATAAACAACTATGCTAAAGTTTCTTAATAACACTTAAAAACACCATCTAACAAAGTACATAAATTTTGAAAAATAATCTTTATCTAATGGTCTATAATTTCACTCCTCGGAATTGTCTTTGGCCAAGGTGGTCGTCATTACCGCAGCTAACGACGTTTCACCAACAAGAATTGTTTCTGTCCCTACTGAGGGTACCCTTTTACCTGTCGTATAGTTCCAAAATAAAAGAGCTAGACTTTGGGCTGGTGCACCATATACCAAATGAATAGCAGGCCTCGAGTTGCGTCACAAAGAACGCAACAATGATCCCTAGCCGCTTACACAATAACACAATAAACTACACACAATAGAAGATAAGTGAAAAGTGTTAAAAGGAAAAATGAAATAAAAAAGGAAAAAAGTCAGATGGGAATTAATTAGGCTTACTGATAATGACGACACATGCATGTTTAGAAGCCATAGGAAAAAAACTCATACCTCTCAAACTCTGAGAGTTTTAGGCCATAGATAGAAGTAGAATGCATCGAATGTGATGAAACTTCGCAGGGAAGTAGTTTGATAGATTACCTGTTTATTGTTTTTTCTTTCATCCCATGTGACTTCTGTTGTGACGGCATCAGAACCAAAATTCAGGAAAGAAATGGTAAAAAGTTTCACGCATTAGTTTTCTGTATAGAATTCTATGATTTCTGCTAAAAACCCCATCCCAATCGGATAAAAAGGGGTTAAGTGACAGCTAATTAAAGAAATTGAAATTTACCCCCAAATGACCATATATGGTCAAAATTAGGGTTATTTTAAACGCAAGAACAATGAATGTATTGGAACAGGAGCAAGGACAAAGTTACATAAAATCAAAATTGTAGTTTTTTCTACTTAGGGTATGTGGTGCTATGACACGTTTTTCGTCACGAAATACGTCATTTTGACGTCAAAATGTCGTATTTCGTGACGAAAACGCTTCATAGCTGCACATAAGTAAAAAAAAGGTAAGTAGAAAAAACTACAATTTTCATTTTATGCAACTTTGTCCTTGCTCCTGTGACAATACATTCATTGTACTTGCGTTTAAAATCCCCCTAATTTTGACCATATATAGTCATTTGGGGGAAAATTTGATTTCTTTTATTAGCTGCAACTTTACGCTATTTTATCCGATTGCCGGATGGGGTTTTCACTATACATATTCTTTTTGTGTAACAAAAATGTCTGTAACGTTTTGAACACTGCTTTGCAAGTTTTTAATGTTGTTACTAAAAATAGGCGTCACTTATGACGTCATACTTTCACAGCACAGAGACTGCATTGCTGAGAGTCAGCAACGACATTCTTCTTAATATGAACAATCAACGTGTTACTTTGCTAATTCGGCTATTAGACTTAAGCGCCGCTGTTATGATACTCTCTTGCATCGGCTCCGGTTTTCATTTGATATCCACGGAAAAGTCCTCTCTTGGTGTAAGTCATTTTTTTGGAAGCGATCTCAGCAAGTGTTGATCAATGACATACTTTCCGATGAGTTCAGCTTGAAATGTGACGTGCCTCAGCGTTCCTGTCTGGGTCCCATTCTGTTGAAGCCGTATACAAGTAAGCTTTCTGAGATTGCCAAACTCATCTGCCTGATGTTCATTGTTATGTCGATGATACATAGGTTTACATTTCGTTTAGTCCTAATCTTAAGTCAGACCAGCTTTTAGCCTTAAAAAAGCATAGAAAATTCCCTGTCGTTTGTGAATGTTGAAGGACAATCTTAAATTGAATGACGACAAAACTGAATTTCTCATTTGATTGGCACACCACAACAGCTGGAAAAGGTCGACAGCACGAGTATCCACGTGGGTAATTCTGAGGAATCTCGGTTCATGGTTTGACTCTAGGCTGTCCAAGTCGAAGCATATTACAAGATCTGCGGGTTCTTCATTTTTCTATTTGTACAACATACGACGCATCAGGAATTATCTCTCACAAACACCTGGTAGACTTCTTAGATCCTCCAATCAATTTTTACTTTCTACATCTAAATTTAATCTTAAAACTTATGGTGGCCGGTCTTTTACTATTGCTGCACCTTCTGTTTGGAATGCACTTCCATTCGAACTTAGATCTTGTAATTCCCTTTCTTCTTTTAAATCTAAGCTCAAGACTTGGCTTTTTAAAATTGGTTATGATGTTGTCGTATAGAATGATGGTGTTTTTATAGGATGACAATGTAGTTTTGTTGTTTTGTAGGTTTAGGATTTTGTTGTTATTGTTATTATGTAAAGCGCTTTTGGACCATTGGGAATTTTTATAGAATGACAATGTAGTTTTGTAGGTTTAGGATTTTGTTGTTATTTTTATTATGTAAAGCGCTTTTGGACCATTGGGAATTAGCGCTCTATAAATACTGTATATTATTATTATTATATTATTAAACGTATACCGAGACACTTATTCATGCATTCGTATCCAGTCATATTGACTACTGCAACAGCCTATTATATGGCTGTCTGTCCTCACTAAATAAGCTACAACGTACAGAATGCTTGTGCAAGACTGATTTTTAATGAACAGTTTTGTCACACAATGCCCCTTATTGTGGAGTTACACTGGTTACCAATTAGATTTAGAACTGATTGTCTAGTTTAAAATTCTCTTGATTACTTTTAAGATTCTTCATGGTTTAGCTCCGTCTTATTTATCATCTCTTATTTCTTTTAGGCGTCCATCGAGATAATACGTAGATTTAGCCAGGGCTAAATGGGAAGGTCTCGATGATTTATAGTTTGCTCAAACAAAATATAAAATCGTGTAATACTAAGCGGCGAAGGCAACGCCGGAGAACGGTGAAAAACAACAATAGGTCTAATTAAGAAAAAAAAAACAACTTTGCACGTGCAGCACACTTTTTTTTGTACATTTCTTTGCCGTTGTTTTGCACGACTATAACGTTTTATGGAGGAAATGTCGCACGTTTTCTCGTTCACTTTTTTTTTCACTGCCGCACATTTTCACCTTGCATTGTTGGTCGCTAGCATTTCTCATTTGATACCGCCGCAACAAAATTTTCATGTTGTTCTTCCGAAAAAAAAAAATGTCTCCTTTGCCTTTTATCTCTTGCTCTAGATCTCTGTCGCCCTTTTTCTCGTTGAGCTTCGCTGGACTGGCGCCTACTTCTCTTTTTCTCGGTCTTTCTCTTGCTCTATATTCCAAATTTGTGGACATGACAATTAATCTAAGCTTAATACTTTAGAAAACGCGGATACAGAGACAATTTCCGCTTTCCGCTTTCGTCTTCATTGACTCCTTAGTTGTCTCTGCTTCACAAGATGCGGGTAGCTATGCAACTTCCCGTCAAAATAACCTCGAGTTGCATTTGGATTGCCATACCTGTTGATTGAACTATTTTACGGACGGACGGACGGACGGTCGGGCGGTCGGTCGGTCGGTCGGTCGGTCGGTGTATGGTCACGTGATTACCAATTTTCTCGGATGGGTAGTTTACCACATTATGTTACCCATGGTGCTGCGCTGCTCGCGCTTCGCGCGCGAGAGCTCCGCTATAATCTTACTGAACTGAAATGATAATCTTTTACTTAGTTATCCTAGCTTCATATCCAAATTAGCAACACTTGGTGATAGGTCCTTCACTCACGCTGCTCCAAGGCTCTGTAATGCTTTGCCATTCGATGTCAGATGTGCCAAGTCTGTTAATGTTTTTCAAGTAAAGCTTAAAGCACACTTATTTAGTTCAACATTAGTGCCCCCGCAGGGATTTCGCCCAGAAGGCGAAATCCCTAGGAGGCACTCTAGTAACTCGCGCGTATATTAAGGAACGTACTTACAGTTGAAATATACAGTCAGTATGCCAGAAAAAGTCACGATTTGCTTGAACAGGGGCCGCGAGGAATCGGTAGGTAATGATGACGTTTCTATTGTTTGCGCCCGCAAGTACGAAATGGTTAGGAGGACGCAAAGACAGAAAATCCCGAAGGGACCGCTTAGCTTGAATTTTTGGCATTTATTGTGCAGTCATACTTCGATAGTCTTGCGTTACGTGTTCAGTGACATTCTTTGTAGCAGCTGTTTTGAAAGTTATGGACCAAAAGACACTCGTTAACCGCAGATGAAGTTATAAGGTGCGTATAACTGTGATATATAAACACTTGGAGAGTTTGCCAGACACGAGTTCACAAATCTTTGATTGGAAACCTTGCCAGACACTCTTTCTCTCTCTTTGACCGGAATAAGACTCAGCCCCAAACAAGCAAGACGAGTGAACAACGGCTAGCTTATCACTAGCAGAACGATGGACGATTACAGAAATTCGCTTGACAATCAAATTCTGTGCTGACTTATTCCCTGCTCACAGATGTCCTTTTAAAATAAGACCTAGAATGCGCGAGCGTGAATTGATCAAACGTCCTTTTAATTTCTAAAGCTTACTTTCTGGCAAATAAAATGAACTGTATGTAAAACGTGAAAGAGAAATAGCGAAAAATTCAACTTCTAATTAAATCTTTTCCTATGGTTTGGAATAAACTCTCGAAACTGAGAATGTTTTGATCAAAGCCGTATAACTCGAACTGAAACTGTGCANTGATTGGAAACCTTGCCAGACACTCTTTCTCTCTCTTTGACCGGAATAAGACTCAGCCCCAAACAAGCAAGACGAGTGAACAACGGCTAGCTTATCACTAGCAGAACGATGGACGATTACAGAAATTCGCTTGACAATCAAATTCTGTGCTGACTTATTCCCTGCTCACAGATGTCCTTTTAAAATAAGACCTAGAATGCGCGAGCGTGAATTGATCAAACGTCCTTTTAATTTCTAAAGCTTACTTTCTGGCAAATAAAATGAACTGTATGTAAAACGTGAAAGAGAAATAGCGAAAAATTCAACTTCTAATTAAATCTTTTCCTATGGTTTGGAATAAACTCTCGAAACTGAGAATGTTTTGATCAAAGCCGTATAACTCGAACTGAAACTGTGCATGGAACCTTGTGTTTCCTGTATTTATCTCACCTATTTTATGGAATATGTGTGAAAATCTTCATTATGAATCGGTATATTTCAAAGAGCTACACAACGAACAAGAATACTCCGACAATATAAAGAGAGGGGGCAGCTGTAGTGTCTACTATTACTAGTTATTATCACAACTTAGTATATATCTTGTTTTGTATTTAAGTTTGAAACATTTTACCTTCGTAATATTTTCTTCGGCTTATTTTTAAATTTAAGCTACTATTTTTATCTATTTATATTTAAGATCTTACTTTCTCACTGATTGTACATGTCATGCGCATTTGAACATTTTTATGGAAAATTGCGCACTATAAATTTATTATTATTATTATTATTACTTTGTTTATTATATATTTCGCCTGACCTCGTACAGGTAAACTTTTTATAAATTTATACTTTGTTTTTTTGTGTGTTTTAGCTCTAACCATGAAGACTGTGTTTAAAGTACTAGCAGGAGGCTTTACCATTGCTTCTAGCTTAGACCTGTTGATTCGTAACTCCACCTATGATGAGCTTATCAGAGCGGTTAACACCTGTGTACTTCCTGCTGGAGCTAACCTAATTCAGATTACAGAAGGTTGTCTATGCCTCAAGGTTCAACTAATGGACCTTTCAGCTCTTGAGACTTTGTGGCGTTTATACAAGGATGGGACACTAAAAGCAAGCTTGCAAGCTTTGTTTGACACAGACGAAATACGAGAATTTGCTGGGGGAGAGCACGTGGAAGTGATTGTGACTATTGACGAAAGAGAATACGATAAAGCAAGGAGTGAGCTAGGTAACGAAGCACAAGGTTACCTATAAATCACTCAAAATAGTTATTTAATTATTTGTTTGTTACAGCAGTCCATACCCACGAGCCAGCAACTCCCATACCTATTTCACGGCTTATCATCATATCGTTTTACAGTGCGACTACTCTAACCCGGGACACCTAGACGAAGTTGACCAACCGGATTTTACAGACGAGATCTCTTAACAACTTTTTCCTTGTTGCCTGACCTACTGCCTAACACCCAATTTTTTTTCAACAAGTCTCGACATAATAAATGATGATGAAATCCGATTCTGATTTCGGGCTTAAGTTCTAATTTTAGAATCAGTAGAATTAAGTTCTAATTGTATATCTATTTTTAAGGAATTGAGATTGGTAACCAGGTATATTTACCATTGGATTTCAGAACTTCCGCAAGGAAAGGATGGAAAGCAGCAAAGGCAATACCTGGATGAAGAGAAATTCTCGAACATTCTGAAGTATTTAGAAGAATCTGAGACAAACAGCGCAACGACAGAAACAAGCGACAGTGGAATACGGGAATCATGTAGTATTTCATCTGAGCTGCAAACGGACGAATCCATCGGTAAACTTAAACTGGTGGAATAATTATATACGTCTAGTTGGGCTCTTCGAACAGCAGCTGGTAATCGAGCCTACCCGCGGTTATGGTGACAAATCTATCCGAGTACGTAACCCTCGGACGTACAAGTGGTGGGGGTGGGGGTGGGTCGCGCGCATTTTGAGACAAGTTTAGTGATGGCCAGTTACTATGGTTACGAGATATGGCGTCATAAGTAGCAGGTGGTCAAGCCATTTTTGAGTGAAGAAGCTTGTTTTTTCCACTTCTATCAACAATGAAAGTAAAGCTGTGGATTAAATGATGCAAAGTGCTTATTTATATGTAATTTTACATGTCAGGTACAAAAAATTACCATTTTCACCTTATTTATAATTCGTGGTAAAATCCAAGATGGCGACCATTGTTCGTGACGTCACAGGCTTCCAGCAGCGTCAACACTGAGCAAAATATACCTCATTTTCTTGCAAAGATCAAAAGCTTTCCACTGAAGGCAAAATCGTTTTGAAATACTACAACGTATCAAAAACTGTGGGAAGGGGATCCATCCACCCCTCCCTTCCCACCGTTGTACCACTGTGGGGGTATGAATTTGCGTGTACGTCCGAGGGTTAAGTATCACTGATAAAACTAAGATTGCGAACATTACTTTTTCTACTCCTCTTCTCATTCTCCCTATTATATCCTTTCTTTTTGTTTTTTTTCATCTCTTCACTTTGATTATATATGTTTTTCTTTTATATGTTTATTATTATTTGTTTTACTGTCACTCGTAGTCAATTTACTTTCAACTGTGGTAAGACTTATATAGTCAGTCGCGCGCAATGCAAAGTAGTGACATTTGATTAAAAAAATAGTTAATTTTTGGATTTTACTCTCAAGCGATACACACCTAGCCCGGAAAGTGAACTGGTCGTTTAACCCAGCTTTTATTTCGCGCTTTAATTACAGATTCTCCACCCACACTCTATTTGAAAGATCTAAGTGAAGAAGTGGTCGAAGAATTGACCTCCAGACTTCAAAGTGACCCAGTTGCTCTGAAGAGATTTTACCAGTCGTTTGGGCTTGATCCAGAGAAATTGTACGCCAAAGGATTTCAAACCATCGCAGAAATCTTCCCTGGTACTCCAATCAAGACTTTAAAGGACGTTTTCAAGGCGTTGAGATTGCTTGACCTCGTTGACTTGTTGGAGAACGTAACGAAGCTTCGTGCACTTCGTCCTGCTCTTTCCATGAAAGAAATAGGAATGTTACCGAGTGCTAATTACCGTGCTATAAAGGATTATAGCAAAGCGGAGATCTTGATTATCGATTGCCATAACGATGCTTCTACAGAGAATTATGCTAAAAGAACGGCATCTTTTTTCCAGGCTTTTAATTCAAAGAGTCAAGTAACTACGTTGACTGCAGCAAAGGCCTTAGTGGATTTGCTTGAAAATCTGGCAAAGTTGAGGGCGAGAATGATGATGAACGAGACCGATGCTTTGATGGCTGAGACAAGAGCAATAATGTTAAAAGTGTTTCTGGAGGAGAAAATACCCGATAAGTGGTCTGGAGGGCTAAACAGGAAGTGGAACGAAACAGTCACCGAAAAAAATGAGCGACTGTTGAGCTTGTTCCAAGAAGAGGAGTCGGCAATGAGAACCGAGCTAAGAGAGTTGGTAGAAAAGCGAGAGCAGTGGGCAAATGAAAGAATACTGATGATCGAAGAGATAGAACAAGAGGAGGAAAAACTTAAGAGAGAGAGTGAGAAGTTCGCAGCGACTGTCCTATCCTTCCTTGAGAAATGGATGACCCTTCCACTTGATGAAGGTTGGTAACTTAGAGAAACTTAGAATTAAGTTTAAAGCAAAAAGACCGCTGGCGAATGTATCAGTTGTAACACATGAGCAAACGGCAAACGGCAAAGCCACGTTTTTTGCATCTAATAGGCCTGTGCCTTGCCTCCAGCGTGGTGCATGATTCCTCCATGACTATCTATTTTATAAAGAAAAATAAGACTGCTCGCATTAACATTCACTCGTAGCTTAACCCTATTCAGACTGGCTTTTTTTGTGCTTCCTGCGACCGAGGGGACCTCGGAGGCTCCCCTCTATAAGGGTTGATTTCCAGTGTGGCGTAATTTTTACATGCGTATTTGCGTAAAATTCTCGTTAGCAAATTAAATAGAGACAATACATGAAAGTCGCTCGTCAGCGTAAACGTTCAACCTCGCTCAACTTCTCGTTTAAGCTCAGCACTTTTTATCTTGCTTCTACTTTATTTACGTGATTAAAATTTACGTGCGTTAACGTGTGTAGCCAAAAACGCGCGTCAGTGGAAATCAACCTTACTACCAAACCGCTCATCCTTCGGCCCCCAAAACTACATATAATAATGTACTCATCATTTCCAATTTCTGGGCGAAATTTTATTGTCATAAAGACGTCATCTTACGTGACCTTGACGTCATATTGTTGCATTAATTTTCCCTCAAAGGAAGGTATCAAGCGAAAAGTCGTTATTAATAAATAAATAGTAAGGTCTCTGAATAAATCAAGACGTTGGCTAATTTAATGATCTTTACCAATAGGAGTGATGTCATAATGACGTCGTTTGTTACTAAAAAAGGGAACTGAATCCGAAAAAAAAAGGAAAAGAAGGAGAAAAGCTTGGTTTGTTTTACGCATTTGCAGAACATTATTTGCAGCCAAACATAAAAGCCAAGCGCAGTTGGACGACATGGCGTATGAGCGGACCATTGTTTGTAGCCAGTTATTTGCAGGTTACTTGGCGGCCTCTCGGCCGATAAAAAGGAAAAAAATAGCACCGAATGACAATAAATGAAATTTTCACACCAACTGTACGTGTGATCTTTTATCTGAAATCCGTTTGCTAAATGATGATGGAATGTCATTCCCATTATCTGGTTTTTAGGCTGTAACTCAATCTACATTTATTAATAAATTAAAAGTTAATCCTAGTCGTTGATTAGAATAAAGTGAGATTCCACTGGTTCGTTTGTTTTTTTTTCTTACAGGTGAGGAATCAACCCTTTTTGTTGTACTTGTCAGAGAAGGTTTCAAGCTTAATTCGTACAGCGATGACGTTGAAAACTTCATGAAAATGATAGGAGAGTGCGTGAGAAAAACATTGTCCCTTATCCCAGGTGCAAAGCTTCTGATCGCAAATAATTCGTCATGTTTAGCGGAAAAGGCAGAAATACCTTGCGAAACTCTACAGGTGTATTCGCCAGAAAGGATTGGTCTAACAACAATGCTGGATCTTCTGAAAAAGCGCTGGCAAACGTTGGACCTCATATCAGTGATGCAGGAATTAAAAAGATCATTACGCGCAGAAGGAATATCTCGTAAACAGGAGGAAACTACGAAATTGTGGGATCGGAATACACAGCTTGTGGAAATACAAGAAAATTTGTCTTGTCTTCCAAGGCTTCAGAAGACTGAATAGATCTCGGATAAAACTGAAATGAGTTGTATTTATATGAATAAGACACTGACGGATGAGCGGCCAATGTACATGTGAAAACTCGCCATATAATAGGATAAGAGTTGAAGTTGTGGCATTTTGTGTAATCTGATCTTGGATAACTTGCGGATGAACTGCCCCGGTACGCACTTAGTTGGCAAGTCGTCCAAACGGGTGGTTACCTTTTTAAGCTAATTAGGTATGGCAGCCTAGTGTGTATTCTACTCACAAACACAGTGAAAACCAAAAGCGCTGTGTAATATCAAGCAACTGATGAAACTGTAATATTATTTGTATCATTCATATTTATTTCAGCCCACTAGCTATCTGCCAATAGTATCCTGATTATACTTTTTAATCTTTCATTGACCTATAGATAAAGTTTTACTTATAAATCTACAGATTCTGTATTGTTACGTTGTCTCATTTTATTACTTTCATTACCTTTCTTTTTCCCTGCCTAGAATAGATGTTTTTGCTTATTTTCAGAGTGATTGTAAGGTAACTTGTTACGTATACTGAGAGTAATTAACTGAAGTTTGTTTGTTTGTTTACATATTACTCTACTAGGGAACCCATAGCCATAGGATGTGAGAGTAACAGACTGTATATGTAACAATAAAACTATAGTAAATGTGCCGGCCAGAATCGTTAGGCTGCGCTTACACCTAAACATGAGCGTATATCACTTGTATCGGTATGAGCTGCATTGGCTTCTGATAGAAGAGCGTGTAATCTTTAAGATTCTGTCGAGCCAGCCCTCTCCCCAGGCACATGTGACCAAAAAACTTCATAGGTTCAGTGAAGTACGCGGACCGGAGTTTCACATGTTTTGCATTTCATTGAGTCTTGTACAAATTTGCACTTATTGAGGCCGTCTAGCTTCATAAATAACTGGAGCATAAACTACATCGAATTCTCTCCTCCACAGAGGCTTGTACTGGTATCCCATTTAGAACATTTTAAATAAAACTTTAGAAATAATTTGGCGTGGGGGACTATAGGAAGAGAGAAAAGCGCAGTTTCCCTCCTTTCTCCGTTTCACATTGTCCCCTTCGCGCTTTCCTTTCCCGTCTTCTCGCCTTTCCAGTTAAACAAAGGGCACTTAACATTTCCATGGGAAAGCATGAATTCCATTTGGGAAATCAAATGGTGCTCGCCATTCCGTTTGAGAAGCTACAGAAAATATGAACTGTTATTTGAAACGATACATTTTTTCTGGTCTGTTCTGTCTCTTCAGCTGATTTGGCTACAGTTTGTGGCAAGTCGTTCTTCCACAAAGTCAAATTTAATCGTTTAATGTTTATCAAGAGAGATTCTCTCTTGATGTTTATGCACAAGATTTTCAACCGGATGGTTTGTCTAAATGTTAAGCACCCAAAGGTATCTCTGTGAAGATTGGAGGAAAAAGAAATTACAAGTTAATGCCCTGAGAAAGCAGGCATTTAAGTGAGTTTATTCTTATATTTATTTACATGTCCTGTTATTTAAAAGCCCCTGCTAAACTAAACTTAACTCACAGATTCTTTTGTGAAATAATTATGAGTGAACAGATTGTACCAGTTCTTGCTGAATCTTTCCGATACTCCCTTATACTTTTAGTCACATCGGGAGAAATTTTCGATAGCCTCTTTAGACCTTTTTAAAACTTAACACGAAAAAAAATCATGCCTTCCCCAACCCCTCCCCAAAAAGGTACTGCCATAGCCCACGATTTAATAGTAAATTATGAAACCTCCCAGATTTAATTCAAGCAAATTTGTGGACGCTCTGTTTTATATAGCCTGTTTCAGGCTTCAAGGTAATAATTAGGGCCATTTATACGAGGAAAAATAAGACGCGCCTTACGTAGGAAGCGTCTTAAATAAGACGCGAAGTTTCCGTATAAACGGCACATTTCGTCTAAAATAAGACGCGGCTTAACTAAGACGCGTCTTATTTTAGAACAGCCCTTAACACCTGTTCTTAGATAAGACGCGTCTTAGCTAAGACGAGAACAACTTCGTTTAAATAACCTTCGCGTCTTAANAAATAATTATGAGTGAACAGATTGTACCAGTTCTTGCTGAATCTTTCCGATACTCCCTTATACTTTTAGTCACATCGGGAGAAATTTTCGATAGCCTCTTTAGACCTTTTTAAAACTTAACACGAAAAAAAATCATGCCTTCCCCAACCCCTCCCCAAAAAGGTACTGCCATAGCCCACGATTTAATAGTAAATTATGAAACCTCCCAGATTTAATTCAAGCAAATTTGTGGACGCTCTGTTTTATATAGCCTGTTTCAGGCTTCAAGGTAATAATTAGGGCCATTTATACGAGGAAAAATAAGACGCGCCTTACGTAGGAAGCGTCTTAAATAAGACGCGAAGTTTCCGTATAAACGGCACATTTCGTCTAAAATAAGACGCGGCTTAACTAAGACGCGTCTTATTTTAGAACAGCCCTTAACACCTGTTCTTAGATAAGACGCGTCTTAGCTAAGACGAGAACAACTTCGTTTAAATAACCTTCGCGTCTTAAATAAGACGCGAACGCATGGTACGCATGCGTTAATTTTTGGCGCGCCACTTTGGATTGCCATTCTACGGGCAACATTCACATGAAAACGAGTCAAGAACAGAAATAAGACGCGAACCATTTATACGAACCGCTTCTCGTCTTAGATAAGACATGCTCGTATAAATGGTACAGTTAGACGCGTCTTATTTTTCCTCGTATAAATGGCCCTAATGTGCCAGACCGTATCGTGAAAATTAACGAAAACCGGGCAGGGGGTGGGGAGTGTGACAGAAAGTTTTTCCACTTTCGAGCGATTTCAACACTTAAGGGAACTCAGCGCTTTAACTCTCGATTAACTGGGAAACTAGACTCAAATGGCAATTCGCTGGCGGGGAAGAGCCGTCACCTGTCTTGAGGTCTGGGATCAAACCACTAACTGGTACAGTAAAGGCAACCTGAACTTTGGTTCCAATAGCGTTCATTCTTGTACACGTAGCGTAACTTAGCTCACAAATGTAATCGGCAATGAAATCGAATAATCACTTCAAAGCAACTTACTTATATATGATTTGAATAACCATTGCGGAAAACAAAAGAGTACAGTAGATATGTAAATAGATATCATTTAGAAGTAAATGACAATCAAATAAAAGAGATGGTTATAGCTTGTTAGTGTTGCTATTTTTAAAAAGTAAAAGTACTGGAACAAAAGCGAGCTAAGTTTCTTAGGTCAGCAAAACAGCGTTTATGTACATTACATTACAATATGAATGAAATTGCAAGGTCACCTAGCCTCTGTTCAAACAGGAAGAAACGCGGACTAATTACTAGCTTCCTAGTTTTAAAGCGAAACAAATGTATTTAGAATTTGCAAGTCAGCAAAACCTTTCATTTCCAAACTCAGCTGTTGCAATTGCCACTATTTAACCAACAGACTAATAAACGTTATATTCACAAACACATATAGGTAAAATGCAATTAAAACGAGGTACATCTGTAAAAAGGCGCTAATGTGAACGGTCGTGCAGAATAAGAAGAAAGTATAAATTAAAAGATAAACTAAAGCTAATAGCCATTATTCTGAAAACTAATCATTTTTTCTTAAAGTCAACAATTGAAGTAAAACGTGTCCATTTGAAAAGAGTAAGTGGCAAATAGTTGTGATAGCTGTAAACACTGTTGGCTTTTTCTAGAATTATTGCGTTAACGAACACAAAGTAATCATGCAAACAAGTACACTAAATGGCACGAGCTTTTTTGTGGAGCTAAAACCTCTTTATGCAAATTCAGTATGAATTACTAAAAACAACGTCAGAGCGAATATTTGAAAGCTATATATGAAATTCGAGGCAAATAAAGAATTCACGGAAAATCTCTCCTTACAGGAGAGAGAAGGCGATCTCTCTCTCCTTACGTTTTCGTTTTCTCTTTCCCAGAGTCCGTGTTACAAATAAGCCTTGTCCAGCGAAACGGACAACCGGCCTGAGGATGAGTTTTGACAATAATAGAAAATGACTGGCAAAGCTTAAGTTTATTAGATTTGAAGGTGTCTTTCTTCTATTCAAATTAACAACCAAACCAAAGTAAGCTAATTTTAGCTGTTTAGTTGTTAATTAAAATTATGAAAAAATGACTGCAGTTTTTATTCGCGGGTCTCAATGGGGTGGTGGCTTTTACGGTTGTCGGCTAAAGTTTTGACTCTTTCACGGCTACCATTAATTTTTTTAGTTAAAAAGTAATCTATTTTCTTTCAAAGAGTTAAGTAATAATAAACCAGCATTTTGTGTTACTTTAAAGAAAAATAAAGGTCTAATAGGATCATCTCGGGTATTTTGATAAATCTTAATATTTTATAGATCATACTTTTACGTACAGTTGAACCTGTATGTGCGACCACTTCTCGTAAGCGACCATCTCCCATAAGCTACCGCCTATTCAAAATTTAAAAACTTTCCTAGTCAAGACCTCTCGGTTGGAACCTCTAGTAAACGGCCACCTCCTGTAAGCCACCTCGACCACACATACATTCAAGAAACAATTTTTTGTGAGAGGGATGAAAAGGATCATTCCTGATAGCAGATATAGCAGTTCATTTATAAAAAGAATCGTCGTCAAAAAGCAAAAACAGACACGCGAAAAATACGGAGTCAAAGTAGCCGCAAAATAAGAAACGTACCGGTCATAAGTCAGTTTAGCTGCTTCCTTAAAATCAACAAATCAAGGAGCTTCTAGGGAACAAATGTCTTTTTTACGGTGAACTCGTTTTACCATAATTACTGCTAACGGTTAAAATGTTTCAATTTTTAAGGCTTTCGACTAAATTTTTAGACGTTTTACTCCTATCCGTTAACCCAATTAAGCAGGGGCACCCAATGGATCTGTTCCTCAAAATATCTGTTCTTTAGGCACATTTTTGCTGGCTGGGAGATGTGAAAGAAATAATATAGTCCTTGGAAGGAAAGTGCTGCTGGGAAAAAGA